GATGAAATAAGTACGCACTTTGGTGAAGAGCGTACAGACTTTGGCTCTTCCTGTAAAACATTGCGCGTTTTCTGCAATGAGGGATGCTTCGTCATACAAACCCCAATATGTTTCGCTGCGCTAAACTGGCCGACGCTCGTCAAAGCATCCTGGTTTTTCCTTGATGCAGGTAGCTCGCTTACAAAACACTAGAACCACGACAAGATCACCTTGTTGTAGGCGAATTTCTGTAGATTTACGGCATATTTTTAAATTTCTGAGAGGATGTCTAGAAAAAAAGATATGACCAGTTTTCCGCGGAAAAAGTAAAACATTGCGGTAAACTGGTCGAGCACCTTACGGTTAATCGATCCCTTTTGCGTTTTCAAAAGCGCAATTCGAGGTCGATCTAAATAAATCAAGATCGTCCATGCTACCCTCTCTGATTTGTGCACTGATTTGTGGACCAGCCTTCCTCGATCTAGGCCATAAAACGGGGCTACATTTTATCTGCAAAGCACAATAGATTACGGTAGCAACTCGGAGTTACAGACCCGTTTATGCAACACCGATCTGTTTTCTCATATTATCTTTAAAAAGTTATTAATATTTGAAATTGACATGGGCACACACGGCAAATGTTCGCCCACTGATTTAAATAGAACATTCTAGCCAATCAAATCTTCTTGTTCTTCTTCTCTCCCCTTTTGACACAATCTGTCCAGGAAGCGGAGACCACGTGGAGCGCCTCGCCCTCGCTGCGATTCGCCTCGATTGGACCCTCCCGTGGCGCCCCTCGGTGTGCAGGACGCGTGCGTGTGTAAACCCGATCTCCTCAGCTCTCGAAACCCGTCGGAAGCGGCCCCAACGCCCTCCAATTGACGCCAGGACGCGCTCCTAGAGCAGCAGGTGAGTGGGCATTCTACCATCGCTCCCGTCCATACGTTTCCCACCACGTAGAGCAACGTAGAACTGGCCTACCTTTCACTCTACCTACCGCAGACGCAGCATGTTCGGACGCTTCTTCAAGAACAAGGAGGACGGCAAGAGCGGGCCCCCTGGCCATCAACGCCAGGCTGGCCAGAACGGCGCGGCCGACGAGCCCCCGGCCGGCGGAGGCTTCTTCAACCTGCCGCCCCCAGTGTCCAAGCCTTACGGCGGTCAGAGTGCGGCCGGCCCCAGCAATCCCGTGGCGGGAGGAGGCTCTGCACCGAGTGGGTACCCTCCCGCGCCGTCCTACGGCGGCCCCAGTGCTCAGGACAACAGCTCTATGGGCGGAGGAGGAGCCCCCGGTGGAGGCATGGACATGTTCGGCGGCATGTCGGTGAGAGCCCCTCCAGCCGCCCCAGGTGTCAACAATGGAGCTGGAAGGTATCAGCCCCAGCCTCAGCCCCCGCAGCAGCCCCAGTATGGAGGCTACGGCGGCGCTCCGCCGGCTGCTATGCCGCCTCCGCAAACGAGCGGCAGTTTGTTTAGTGGCTTGGATGTGGCACCGAGCGCTCCGGCACCAATGGCTCCACCTGCGCATGATGACGGAGGTGCGGGAGGTTTGACGATGCCGACTTACGGTGGAGAGCAGCCGCGGAAGTCGACGAGGAGCTCGGGCTCGTTTAATTATCAGGATGTGGCGGCGTCGGCGGGGGCGGAGACATTGAGCTCGTCGCAGTACTCGCGAACGAGCGCGACTAGCAGCACGGGCACATCAGTATCGCGCGCGAGCTCCAAGGCTGGGGTGAAGAAGAAAAAGAAGAAAACCTTCCGCCCCGGATTCGGTCGCCAACTTTCTGATGAATCTGCGGCGGCGCTGCAGCGTGGAGATCTGAAGGAGGACGATGTCATTCAGCAGCAGCGGGAAGGACGTCTCAACTCGGACCGATCGGACAGCTCGCGCAGCACGCGTAGTGTGACAGGCCCGACGGATTTGGCTCATTTGTTGCCGCCGGTGAAATCTGGGTCGGTGCTGCAAGGGCTGACTGTTCACAAGGGAACTACTCCGTCCGGTGGTGGTGTTCTGGCTGGCCTTACTGTCCACACATCGGCTTCTCCCTCCCCTTCGCCACCGAAGCCTTCAGTATCTGTGGAGTCAGGATCTGCTGGGAATGGCGTCCTGTCAGGCCTGACCATCCGCAGAACTACGAGCAGTGTCGCTGGTGACGACGCTACTGAAGAAGTCAATGACGTGCCTGTCGAAGAACCTCCTGCTCCCGAGGTCTACAAGAAGCCGTCGCGTCCCGTTAAGGCTGCGCCTGCCACCCCCGAAGAGCGGTTGTTCAACACCCTGAGTGATTTTCATGAGAGCGCTGTCAGCTTCCGACAGCTTACGGTCAAGCAGAACGAGGAAGAAAACCGTCTTTTGGAGCGGAAGGCGCAGCTTGCGAACCAGCTGACCCAGTACGAGATGGACTTGCGTGACGTCGAAGCTCAGCAGCATCACGCCTGTGAGGTTGAAGATTTCGAGAAGGCAGACGCTCTAAACGCCACGATTAACAGCGTGAGGCATTGCATCACTCTCACGGAAAGCGATGTCCGCAAGGTGGACAGCGAGCTCGTAGCGTTTGTGAAGGCAAAGGAGAAGGCGTTCGCGAACCAGCTGAAGAGCACTCGCGGTACTCTTCGCGAGCTTGAGAAGTTCCGCGAGGACCAGGAGTCTGAGCGAACTGTTGTGCGTAACGAGTACAAGCTGTACGAGGCGAATCAAACGGAGCAGCTGCAGTTCGAAGCGGAGCGCATTGATACCGAAATGCATCACGTATCGGTGAGCCTGGAGAACGTTGTTGCTGAAAAGTCGGAGATCGAGGCAACCATTGAAGGTCAGTGCAGCTCTGAATTCGCTGTCCAAGCGCAGTTGATCGAGGAAAAGCAGGCGGTAGAGGAAGAAGTGCGCGAGCTGGAGCGCAAGCTGAAAGAGAAGCTGGAGCGGGTGCAGGAAATTCAGTCGTCGATTGACAAGGCCCAGCGCGATATTGACACTGTTCGCAACCGCTACTCACGCCAGCTAAAGCGTATTGCTGACCGCGAGGAGGGCATCAATAAGACGAAGGCTGAGGTGGAATCAGACGGTGAGCATCTCGAGCAGCAGCGCCACGAATTCCAGGACCGACTGAAGCAATACGCGGATGACATCTCGATTATTGGCAGGCGTATCGGTGCAGTCAAGAAGGAGATGCGAGCTGCATCCTTGCTGGCGAACGTGTTAGAGGTGCAGGAGACTCGTCGCGAGCAATCGTTGATTCGCAAGAAGCAGCAAACTGCGGAACTCAGCTCATTAAACGACGCTGCTGCTGTTGCAGAGCAGAGCTTTACCATGCTGAGCAACCAGTACGAAGAGCTTGAGAAATCTCTATCGATCCACCGCAATGCTATCGCTTCGGCGGAGGCAATGATCCCGCGTTTGGAGCAGGAGAAGAAGACGTCTGCTGCGCAACGTAACTTTAAGGAAGCAGCGCGGATCTCCAAGGACATCAAGGCATTGGAGAAGGATCGGTCGACAGCCGAAGAGATGGTGGAGGTAGTGGAAATGGAGCTTCAAGACCTGAAGGAGCGCATTGACAAGCGTGAGGTGGAGTATGAGGAGAAGAAGAAGGAGCTGAAGGAGATGGAGAAACACCTGGAGCTGGCGACACTACAGGAGTTGTGGAAGGAAGCGAAGCATTTGCGCACAGCTCTGCGGAAGATCGAAAAGTGCAAGAGCGAGGGCGATGCTGCAAACGACGGTATCGACTTCCGATCTTCGGCGATGTTGCTGGTCCAGGCCGAGTACGATGCGTGCGTGCTTCAAGTGGAGACGCTGGAGAAGAAGTATGATGTGAGCGACCCTACGAAGGACGAAGAGGTGGATGACGATGATGACGACGATGAATCCATTTATGATGAAGAGATCGAGGGCAGTGATCATGTATCAGTTTCGCGCTCGAGTTTGACGGGTAAAGCGACGGACATCGATGGATCGGATGTTGATGTCGAAGCTCTCGAAGACTGCAGCTCTACGTTGGAGGAGATCGCGGCCCAACTGGCTGAGTTCGAGTCCCAGATTGACAAGGCTACCGAGAACGAGGATTATGAGTTGGCTGCCAGACTGGATGAAAAGATTGAAACCTTGAAGCAGCGTCAGCAGGCCATCGAGGCGTCAATCTCGCAGGTTGCGTCCGATGATGTTCATGATGACGGCTCGGTGGAGGATCCTGCCGAAGAATCCAATGATCGCGAGTACTCTGCTGTGGAGGAGGAGGAAGCAGCTGAGGCGGAGTATGTTCACGAGGAAATGGTTAGCCCCGTGAGCGCTGTACGAAGTCACGATGAGCTGACTCAGTCCTTGGAGACAATCCATCTGCGCGTTGTGATGCTCGAAAAGCAAATCGAGTTGGCGACCGAAAACGAGGATTACGACACGGCAGCGGCCTATGACGAGGAACTGGAGTCATTGCGAGTAGAGGAGGAGAACATTCGCGCTCAGCTGGGTGCCGGCAACACTATCAGCGGTGTGACTGGTGCGAGCATGTTTGGAGGCCTCGACATCAAGCCTTCCGGCTCTGGGTCTGAGGGAAGCCACGCGTCGCAAGGATCGGAGGGGCATGAGTCTCCCAAGGAGGAGGTTGCTCAGCCATCCACGAGCGGTTCTCTTTTCGGTGGACTGCAGATGAGCGGTGGCCCCGCCGCGGCTTCTGAGAGTTCGGTTCCGACTACAGAGCCCGATGTTGAAGTGGAGGAGGCTGAGGAAACGGCAGCCCCGGCTAAGGTTGAAGTCGCTTCGCCCACGTCGTCGGATATGAAGGACTCTTTCTTTGGGACCCCCACGGTACCTGACCACAGCGCCAGTTTGATCGCTCCTTCAGCTTCTGGATCTCTGTTCGGCGGTCTGCAGCTGAGTGGTAACTTCGAGGCTAGCACCTCTTCCTTCTCGTCGGCCGAGAAGGCAGCAGAAGAGGAGGAACAGGACGTGGCTGTCACCGAAAGCGAGGGCGCTGATGCTCCTGCCGATAGTGGAAGCATGTTCAGTGGACTGCAGCTGAGCTCCGGTGCGGTTGATGTCGCATTGTCTGCACCAGAGGAGTCTGCTCCTGCCGACATGTTTGGTGGCCTTCAATTGAGTAACAGTGCAGTCGGCGAAACTACGGCGCCGGCGGAACCTGCCACGACGGAGGTTTCCACGGATATGTTCGGTGGGCTTCAACTGAGCAGCAGTGCAGTTATTACAACGCCCGAGCAGCCTGTTGCAGCTGTAAGTGATGCGCCTACCGACATGTTTGGTGGTCTGGAGCTTAGCAGCAGTGCGGTAGTCACGACGTCGACCGAAACTGAGACTGTACCAGCCGTGGAGGAGTCTGCTGCGTCGGAGAAGAGCGTGGGAGACTCTCGCATGTCGATCCACGAGCTGTCGGAGCACGGCGAAAACGGTTCAACGACTGGAAGCAACGTGGACTCATTTCACTCAGTGACTGAGACGACAAGCACGGAAACAACTGTGGAGACCTCAACGGTGTCCACGACGACGGTCACGAAGCTCTCGGATGACGACGAGGCAGTAGCGGAAGCAACTGAGCAGGACACGGCACAACCGTAGAGAGATCGCGTTTGTTTGTACACGTTGCTCTGCCTGCATGTATCCCATCTGAAGGAGCGCAGAGCAAGTCGAGCGTAAAGAAAACTGGAAGTCGCGAGCAGCGTGGTGTATCGTACCTGTGCCAAGTACCAGCAACGTAGCTGACGGCAAGAGCTGGAGGGAGGAAGCGAAGCGAAAATAACACGGGACAATAGGGAGTTGCATGGCAGATTGGCGTTTTGACACCGCAGCAAGTGTCAATAGATTTCATAAGCTCGACTCGCCCACGGTAGTTCTACATCTAACGTTAGCTGGCCACCCCTCATCGCTATACGCCTTTGCGTTGCGCCGTCTCCTGTTCTAGCAGCACTGTCGGAGACGCAGGGGTGACGACTCCAAAGGTTCCTCCTGGCGCTGGAGTGCCCAACTCGAGCTGGATGGCAGCGGCCAGAGGTGTGTACACTGAGGCCGGAGGGTTCCTCAGGAATTGCTGGCAGACCAAGCCGCTGGCCAGCGCGATGACGTTCAACACCAAACTCAGCGTCGACTTGGTCAGCTCGTTGAGCATCACGAAGGAGCCGATGGAGAATGGGATGGCCATGGTCAGGAGCAGCCCTCGGTCCGAGATATTGACCTTGTATGGCCGCACGAGTGTGGGCATGGTGAACCGTAGCCGCACCACGGCGCAGAGCTCCGTGACGCAGGCCAGCGAGGACAGGAAGTTGTCCACTCCGAGGATGACGTTGAAGTCGAAGAGCGCCATGAAGACAATGATGCCGTACGACAGCAAGATGGCCCGGCGCGGGACTCCGTTCGATGCTGTGCGTCTGTCAGGAGGGGGCAGCAAGGATCAGAGTCAAGTTATACAGGAGGCCATGAAGGCTCGAGAACGGAACGTACTTACTTGATGAAGTAGTTCGGAGCGAGGCCCAGGTCCGCCATCCCCGCGAGGAGGAAGCCGTTCTTGGTCATCTTGGCGATGTACACGCCCAGGTTGCCGAGCAGCGCGCAGCCGAGGAACCACGTGCGCAGCCCCGGGCCCGAGATCTTCTCGGCGATCATCGGGTAGTACCCGTCCCTCCACAAGCTGTAGGGCGGTTTATTCACGCCCGAGGCCGCGAGGAACGGCACCGAGTAGGTGAGGGCCACCAGCCCGACTGTGAGCATCATGGCCCGAGGGTAAGTCTGTCGGGGCGAGTCGATCTCGCTCGCGTAGGCCCCGGCCGCGTCGAAGCCGCTGTAGCTCCAGTACAGGACACTCACGAGTTGGCTCCAGTGCGGGGCGGCACTGACGACGAACCAGTTGGCCGGATCAATCTGCGGCATACTCACCACGACCAGCACGACGAACGGGGCCACCATGGCCAGGCCGAGCACCAGCAGGAAGCGCCCCACCGCGTCGATACTGAAGATGGTCGGCAGCATGAACACCGTCGCGACCGTCACCCGGACGAGGTACATCCACGTCGGGACCATGAAGGAGTGCAGCTCGTGCGGCCCCGACAGCACCGCGTAGACGGAATCCACCATCAGGCACGGGTAGATGGCGTTGTCGATGACGCCGGCCACCCACGACCAGTAGCCGACCTGGAAGCCCATGCGCCGGCCGAACGCCTTGCCCACCCACGTGCAGAAGCTCGAGTCCGTCGGGAAGGCCGAGAAGAGCTCGGCGAACGACAAGGCCAGCGGCAGGCACCAGATGAAGGGGAACACGAGCGTCGCCAAGATTCCGACCAGCGGCCCGCAGGCCGCGACGATGGGCTCCGACCCCCACGGCCCGCCGCTCACGTTGAAGTACGTGATGAGCGCCAGGCTCACGACGCCGAGCTTCTTGCGCCCCATTCCGCCCATGTTGCCAAAGACCGCGATCAAGGAAGGACCTGGGCGGGCTGCTCACAAGCAGGCACAGTTATAACGGTCGGAGAAGCAGTGAAGAGGCGCCCAACCCCGGAATAGCCCCAGGCTCAACAGTGGCACCCGAGTTGACGCTAGGCTGAGCAGGGGGGGGGGGGGGCTGTATTGATTGAACTACACACAGCACATGGGCCATGAATGCTTGAGTTCGCACAACACGCGATCTCTTTTCCTGTGCAACAACAACACCATTCACACACTTTTAAGCTTAAAAGCTCCCAGGCTATTTAGACAGGCTATTTAGACCAGAGCAGTACTATGTAGTTTTAGTAGCAAGAACTACAGTTCACCAACGCGTTCCGCGATGTCCACGATGCTGGACGTGATGTTTTCAGGAACACGATCGTACGCGCGGGCTGCAACCAGCAGAACATCTCGGATGAGGCCGTGGTTACCCATGATATCGACGTGGTCGGCTGTCTCGGGGCCTCCACGAGCGTCGAACAAAATGGAAACGGGGTTGTGCCTGTACTCGCGGACGCGCACATCGACACCGCCCGGGTTGTACTTCTTGGAGCGCCAGCCACTGGCACACATGAGTCCCAGCGACACCAGAGGAACGGTGCCATCACCGTCTGAATACCGGAGACCGTCCTTCACATACGGAAGATCGTCGACATCGGTGTTGAACACGTAAGGCGCCACACGCTTGCCGTTCACCGTGACGTTGTCTTCCATTGGCAGGTTTTCGCCGTAGGTGTATCCCCGCTCCACCGGCTTGCCCACACCGTAGAAGCAGAACAGCTTCAGACTGGGCGCCTTAGGGAGAGCGGCTTCAAGTGGGTTCGTCCAGTACTTGGACTGGTCGTACTCGGGCAGCGACGGATCTTCAGCAATGCCAGTGCTCAACGATGATCTAAAGGTCTCCAGGTACGGGTCCAGCTCTGATAGCAGCTTCTGCACACCTCCAGCGGTGATATTCTCATGCGTATTGTTGACAAAACGCAGAATTTGGCCGTTCGAGCCGAAGCGCTCGACGTGCTCCTTCACCTTCTTTGGGTCCACCGTAGAGTTTTCACCCGTCGAGAGGGGCGAGGCAGCGACCACATCATCAGGAGCCGACTCCGCAGTGCCCCAAATGCGGTCACCGCCAATCGGCAGCATCGAGAACACACTCGACCACGACCGCGCCAACTGCGTGCGCGCCGACACGCTGAAGAAGTATCCCAAGAACTTGGAAAGTCCGCCCAACTCCGCCGTGTCCTTCATCTCGCCCGACATCAACGCACTGATCGTCTTCACTGCTCCCAGCGTCGGTCCGGCAATGTTCACAAACGCCTCGACGTTGTTCTCCACCCACTGGTCGCCTCCCTTGCCGCCGTTCTCGCTCTCAACCCACTTGAGGAAGTGGAAGAAGACCTGCGTGGCGTACGAGTGCGTCACCAGCATGACCTTGCGGCCTCCGGCCGACATCTTCGCCATCTCGATCGTGTACTTGAGCTTGGTGAAGTACCCGTCGCGCACCTCCAGCAGATGCGGCATGAGCCTCCAGTCGTACGCGGCCATGTAGAGGTTGTTGCTGTCGTAGCCGATCTCGGCCAGGTTCTCGACCATCTTGCCCCAGACCCAGAAGCCGCCGATCAAGTAGTCGGCCGCCTCCAGGCCTTTGGCCGCCCGCAGCTTGATCCCGTCCGGGTCCATCCCGGACGTGCGGTTCAGCATCATGTGCTCGAGCCAGCACTTCTGGTTCATCATGAACTGCTGCAGCATCCTGGACGTGCCCCACATGCGTTGGCGGAAGTAGGCCTTGCTGCACTCGCTGCCGTTCCAGATCTCGAGGCCCGTGGACGTGAAGCCGGGCACGAGCACCACGGGCGAGTAGGCCGTGACGTTCTCTTTCTGGAACAACTGCAGGCCCGGCCGCTTCTCGGCCGCCCCGAGAAGAGCAGGGCGGTTGTCGAAGGCCGCCAGGAGCTCCTCTCGGACGTTCACGGACCAGTTGAAGTTGTCGAACATCTCCCGCACCTTGAGCAGCGAGTCCTCGCTGATGAGCGGCTTCTCCAGGTAGTAGCTCTGGAAGCCGATGACGGCCACGACGCCGATGACGACACCGGCCAGGATGGAGTAGATGCGCTTCTTGGCCAGGTGGTTGGCGGCCCGCGCGTGCCAGCTCTGCGTGCGGCCGAGCGAGCGCGCGGCCTGCTGGAACTTCTTTTTGGCCTGCGCGTTGTCGTGCGTGGCGGCCACGAACGCGTCGGCCACGGCGTCTGCGGCGGCGGCCTCACCACTGGAGGCGGCGTTGTGCGGCTTGCGTTGCCGCATGCCAGCGGCCGAGGAAGCGTCGTCCAACGTCATGGAGGGAGGACTTGAGACTTGGGGCGAGAATTGACGAATGAGATACTTTCGAGTAATTGGATGGATGGATACACTTTTGGGACAAATTGATTGGCATCATCGCACGAATCCGTTCACTTGCTTGCTCGCTCTCGAGGCTGCAGCTGCTGATTATTGTCCGGCCAGCACTGATTTACTTCGAAACCATCAACACGTTGCTATGCTAACTGTGGTGGCATGGAGCTCCGCAGTCGAAAATTCTACCGGTACTCAGACTCAGTTGCGAACTAATAATTCTATTCTCCTTACACGCTTTCTGCAATGACAACGAGAGGAGCGCGGCGGCGCTGCGCTACTCTCCACGAGAAATACACGACGCTCGCTGCTCGGTCCCTTCGTTCAGTCGCAACAGCTCCACGCTTCACATCGGATCTTTCTCCCGCACGGCGCCCAGCATGCAGGCTGCGCAGTGCGAGGGTTCATTGGCTAGCTGACGGACGGGGAGGCTGGCGGCGCGCTTACATCATGCCGCCCATGCCGCCCATACCGCCCATGCCACCCATGCCGCCCATCGGCGGGGCCGCGCCGGCCTCCTCCGGGTGGTCGGCGATGAGGGCCTCGGCCGTCATCATGAGCGACGCCACGCTCGAGGCGTCCACCAGGCCCGTGCGCACGACCTTGGTCGGGTCGATGATACCAGCGTCAACCATGTTGACGTACTCGCCAGTCTGCGCGTTGAAGCCGAACTCGGCCTGGTCGTTCTCCAGCAGCTTGCCCACAACGACGGCACCCTCGTGGCCGGCGTTCTTGGCGATCTGCGTGGCGGGGGCACGGCAAGCGCGCTCGACGATCTCCACACCCACCTTCTGGTCCAGGTTGGCGCACGAGTCGTACAGCGTGTTGAGCGTGCGCGAGGCCCACAGGAGGGCGGCACCGCCACCGGGCACGATGCCCTCGGCAACAGCCGCGCGGGTGGCGTTCAGCGCGTCCACGACGCGGTCCTTCTTCTCGCCGACCTCAACCTCGCTGGCACCGCCAACCTTGATCACGGCAACGCCGCCGCTCAGCTTGGCCAGACGCTCCTGGAGCTTCTCCTTCTCGTATTCCGAGGTGGTGCTCTCGATCGAGGCACGCAGCAGGTTGCCGCGCTCCTCCACGGCCTCGGGGGCGCCAGCGCCGTCCAGCAGCAGGGTGTCGTCCTTGGTGACGGTCACCTTCTTGGCGCTACCCAGCATGTCCGGAGTGGCGGTCTCGAGGCGGTGGCCCAAGTCCTCCGAGATGACGGTGGCACCCGTCAGCACGGCCATGTCCTGCAGGGTGGCCTTGCGGTTGTCACCGAAGCCGGGGGCCTTGACGGCGCACACCTTGACGCCACCGCGGATCTTGTTGATGACCAGGGCGGCCAGAGCCTCGCTCTCGACGTCCTCGGCGATGATGAGCAGCGGGCGCTGCTGCTTGACGACCGTCTCCAGCATGGGGATGATGCTCTGCAGGCTCGAGACCTTCTTCTCCACCAGGAGGATGTAGGGGTTCTCCATCTCGCAGCTCTGGGTCTTGTTGTCCGTGACGAAGTAGGGCGAGATGAAGCCGCGGTCGAACTTCATGCCCTCGACCACCTCTAGCTCGTTGTACAGCGTCTTGCCGTCCTGCACCGTGATGACGCCCTCCTTGCCCACGCGCTCCATGGCGTCGCTGATGAGGTTGCCGATCTCCGTCTCCGAGTTGGCCGAGATGGTGGCCACCTGGGCCACCTTCTCCTTGTCGGCCACGTCCTGCGACAGCTTCTGCAGGCCGTCCACGACGTGGTCCACGGCCATCTGGATGCCGCGGCGCAGGTCCGTGGGGTTCATGCCGGCGGCCACCGACTTGCAGCCCTCGCTGAAGATGGCGCGCGTCAGCACGGTGGCCGACGTGGTGCCGTCACCGGCCGCGTCGTTGGTGCTGCTGGCCACGGAGCGCACGAGCTGCGCGCCCATGTTCTCGAACTTGTCCTTGAAGTCCACGCTGCGGGCCACCGTCACGCCGTCCTTGGTGATCTTGGGGGCGCCGTACGACTGGTCGATCACCACGTTGCGGCCCTTGGGGCCCAAGGTCACCTGCACGGCGTTGGCCAGCTGGTCCGCGCCCTTGAGCATGGCGGCGCGGCCCTCCACGCCGAAGCGGATGTCCTTGCCCGACGAGAACAGGCGGCGGCCCGCGGGCGAGAAGCGCGCGGCCTTCTTCACGGCGATGGCGAGCGTGGGGTTCATCTTGTCTAGACTAGGGGGGTCTCTGGTAGATTTCCGAATGACGCACATTATCGGCCCCCTTGTCACAAGGGCTGGATCGCCTGTGCGTGTGGTGGAGCAGGGGCGGGGCGCTTGAAGTCGGACAGCGCAGCAAAGGATCTGAGTCCGGAGCGACTCAAACTGTGGGAATTGATGCGATGATGGGTGCAGAATCAGACGTATTTCGTCCGAAGAAGTGTCCCTGTCACTAATTAGTGACTTTGACAACCGAAGCGTTCTAGACTGTTCTAACGTGGGGCCCGGCCGGCCCTTGTTTGTTACCTTTGCCGGCGGGATCTGCTCTTTGCGTACGTCAGCAGGCAAGTTGAACAACCGAGAACGCGGTGGAAGGTTCGTGTGAACACAACGGCCCGGGCCCACGAATATTCAGTCGAGCTTTTTGCCGAGTGAAGAGCGCAATACCACCCCGCCAGACACGATAAGCACTGCTCACACCGCCTGCCGTTGTCTATGGGACGCATGCCGCCGTTGCAGTGGCGAGAGTGCCTTCGACTACTTGAGCGAATGGACCACCGGTATCTCCACTTCTGCATGCGACTCGCATTGCGAGGTGCACCGTTCACGTTTGTGGAGACTTTGCTGGTTGAAAACGCTCGTCGATGGCGCCGCTGAAGACATTGCTGGTGCTTGAGCGTGTGGCCGGGTCGCTGTTTAACAAGATGCGTTATTGAACATGAACAAAGCCCGCGGCGTTGGTTGCAGGAAGCTCTCGCCGCTCAAGGACTCGGGGGCTGCTTCTTGTTTGGCTTGTTTGACGTTAGATGGCGACCGTCTACTTCAAACTACATGCGTAGTACTTACTTACTCCAAGAATCTTGTAGACGGTAAGGCATCACCATAGCGTTCAAAGGGTTGGCTTCTGCAACAACGACCCAAGGCAAGGGTGCCGCACTTTTCAACGAAGAAGTCTGAAGCGCCATCGTTCGCTAGTCCTGCTCGCCATGGCCTATGTCATGCGTAGTTCCATCTCGCTGCCCTAACACATTCAATTCGGCTTCCATTCGCTGGCAAAACTAACTGGGGGGGGACTCACCGACGGCCGTAGCGACCACCACGTCGATTGCGACGGTTGTTCATGCCAGGGGCAGGCGACGGGAGTAAGTGATCCGCTTGGTAGCGCTGCTGCTGTTGGTGACGCTGCTGCTGTTGGTGACGCTGCTGGGGTTGCTGGCGCTGCATCATCTCTTGGGGTGGTGGCTGCTGTTGGCCAGGTCCGGGGCCGTAATTTCCCATGGGTCTACCCCCTCCACGCGGCTGGAACTCGCCTTGAGGTGGCCCGTACTGATCATACGCATATGCAGGGAAGTTGTCACGGCGTGGGGGTTGCTGCTGCTGCGGAGGTAGCTGTTGCTGCTGGCGGTAGGGCGCCTGCTGCTGCTGGGGTGGCTCCTGATAGTACGGAGCCTCGGCAGGCATGCCGCCGCGACGCGCATTCGCGTTGCCATACGGGGCAGGACCGGGGTCATCTCGGCCCCCAGCACCAGGCCCTGCACCTGCTCCATATCGCGAGAGAGAAGGATCATACGCACCAGCAGCGGGCGGGCCCGAGCGTTGCCGCATTGGCTGTTGCTGCTGCTGCGGTGGAAATACCTGTTGCTGCTGTTGCTGCTGCTGCGGCCATGCGCCATGGCCACCTCTAGAAGGGCCTCCTTGTCCTACGAAGCGATCGCGAGGGCCATCCTGCGGCCCAGAGAAATTTGCGCCTGAAGGCTGGGGTGCATAACCCTGCTGCTCTGGCATGGGACCTTGGCGGCCTCCATATTCATCATAGGGCGGTGCATTCGGTGCACCGTGCGGCGGTGGCTGCTGCTGGAATTGGCGCGGTTGCTGCTGCTGCGGAGGCGCCTGCATCCGTTGCGGCCCCCGACCATACATAGGCATCTGCTGCTGTTCTTGCAGTCTAGGCGCAGCCTGTTGTCCAGGGTAATCGTAACGTGAATGCGGTTGCGAAGGGGCAGCGGCAGCGGCACCAGGAGGACTGGCTTGCGGAGGCTGAATGTCCCACTTGTTCGAGCGGCCTCGCCCTCCACGCGGGTCGCCACGATCTCCACGGCGGCGGTTGTTCCCGTTATTACCGCCCCAGTTGCGAGATCCGCGCTGGTCTTGTCGGCCATGACCGTTGCCGCTGCCACGGAAACCTCCACCGCCGCCACTAGAGCTACGAGCAGTAGAGTGACTGGAAGTAGAGGAATCTTGGCTGTCGCGCCGCTGCCGCATAGGAGGACGGTTAGGTGCTGCGGAAGCAGAAGATGTTTGCGAGCCCTTCTTGCTAGCAGCGGATGCTTCAGCAGCATTTGACCGCTGATTCTCCTCACGCCACAGCTTCTCGGCTTCCAGGATCAAACCTACAATAGCACGCTGCATACAGCAACACATACACAAGCGATCATTGACAAACACAGATACGAGTCAGACATTGGCCCCATAATCTCCAAGCACAGGACAGCATCAGCATAACGCCCAATACGCTAGGATATCCCAGTGTACCTACCTGCAAACTGACGACTTCCGAGTCCGTAGTCACCAACATTTCCGGAATCTTCATGTTCTCGAGCGAGATCTGCTGAGCCTTCAGAGCGTTGGCGCGGTCCATGGCACAAATCTCGATAAATTGCTGCTGGGACATCTGACAGCGACTCGAGAACTCGCGGCGCTGTTCCAAGTGCTGCGTCTTGAGCGCAATAAGTCCACGAGGGTCCGAGAATCCGTGCTGCATCTCGAGTGCCACGTGACGTGCGAACAATTCGCTGCCCTCCTTCATTTGCATGCCAACGAGCTCTTGCCAGCGGTATAGCATCTCACGGTCACGGGTGCGTTGGTTGTCACAAAGATCGCGGACGCCCTCAAAGACGGCGCTGTCGCCCAAGACATCAGACAACCTCTCCAGAAGCTCGTTACCAATCTGCTTCTGAGCCTCACCGTCCGCCACGCTATCAAACAGCAAGTGCGGGCAACTGGGTATAAACGGAAGCGTTTGCGGAATGTGCGAGAAGTACGCAGTAGGCTCAGCAGCGGCAGGCGCAGCCGTTGCGTCAGGCACGGCTACATCCTGCTTGACGCGCTTAGCATCGCCGGCAAGTCGAGGGTCTGAGGGCCGCTTCACTGCGCCTACACGATCCACCGCGCGGCCCACGCTCTCCACGGCAAGAGGAGACGGGGTTGGCGTCGGTGCGGGGTTAACTTCGCCAGTCTTGTCAATAAAAGCTACAACCGGGTCCACAAGAGACACAACTCCCGGCCCGGTGCTCGCAGCACATGGCTGCTGCGGCTGCAACGTACTCGGGATCGTGTTCGGGGTCGCCGCCACCGGAGTAGAAGCTGCTACAACAGGAGCTGCGGGCGCAGTAACAGCAGCAGAAGGGGCCGATACTGCAGCAACAGGCATCGGTGCAGGGGTCGTCCCTGGCTGCGGGAACTTGTCCGGCATGACCTGGTGCTGCAGCATGGCTAGGGACAGCTTGTTGTCCACGTGGGTGCACACAAAGCCGTAGAACCTAGCCCAGACCTGGGCCTGCTCCGTGTCCGGCAGCGCCTGCAGCGCGCGCACGAAGATCTTGCGGGCGTTCGAGAACTTCTTCCTCTGCACGCAGAAGTCTGCGTATTGCAGCCACAGGGCCGTGCTCGAGCCGGCCACGGGGCAGTTCACGGCCCGCTCAAAGACCTTGGTGGCCTGCTTGAACTGGCGCAGCTCCATCTCCAGGGCCGCGTACTGGCGCCAGAGCGCCACGACGGCCGTGCTGCCCCTCGCGACGGTCATGGGGTCGCTCTGAGCTTGAATGGCCGCCACCCACTGGGCCAGCGTGTCGTCCACGCCCTTGCGCGCATCCGCCACCTTCTCGTACTGCAGAATATGACGCAAAAAGGGGGAAATTAGTGGGGAAACGACTTGCGTCACGCTGGACTTGTTCCGCTCTATAGAGGAGGATTGCGTCGGCTACAGAGCGAGCTGGATGCTGCGCGTTGCATGACCAGAGAGCGAAGGCGGAGGGGAAGCAGAAGACACGCACATTGCTCGAGTGGATCAGCGCCTTGGCCCGCGCCACGACGCCCGCGGCGTCCCACGTCGAAATGTCGTCCGCCATTGCACTACTGTAGCAAGTCGAGCGGTTGTTTGGTGTGGAGGGCCGCTCGGAATCGGAAATCGTGTGACTGAACATGGAATTGAGTGTATCATTTAAGGACACTGGCGTCTATCATTTCGATACATTCAGCTTATATATTGTGAATTCCGGCCAAATTTGCCGAATCGGGTCGGTTTTGGGCCAAAACCGACCCAAAACTTTTGGGGCCCCTGTCCAACCGACTAGACCTGTTTAATGCAGTGCACGAAAGTCCCTACAAATGCACTAAAGTACTTTAGTGCACTTTTGGCGCACCTGCACACAACTGATGCTGGACATTAGCGCGTGCACTAAAGTACTTTATGGTGCATTTGTGGGGACTTTCGTGCACTGCACTATAAAGTACTTTAGTGCACTTTTGGCGCACCTGCACACAACTGATGCTGGACATTAGCGCGTGCACTAAAGTACTTTATAGTGCATTTGTGGGGACTTTCGTGCACTGCACTAAACAGGTCTACAACCGACCAATACAAACATCAAGTCATTTGCCGAATCGCCGGCCCCAATCCGTACTTAGTAGGGAGTCAAGGGGGCATAACCGGGCGACCATAGTCAACCCAAGTGCTTTGGCGATTCGCCGGCGGTTTGCCACGGTCGATTCAATCCGCCCCGATCGGAAAATTAGAGTAGAACTCACAATAACATATTGGGCAAATGTAGCCAAAATTTCCAAACGACGGATACGATGTAAAACATTCAAGCTAACACGACGGACGCACATCCATGAGCGATCCTACTGCTCCTTGGGCTTGCGGGGACACCGTGCCGGCGTTGGTGGTGCCCTGGATAGTGCTGAAGGTGATGCCCGTCGAGGAGCCCGTGTAGGCGGCGTCGGACTCGGCGCTCTCGGCCATGTCGAGCGACCCGCACTCCGAGTCGTCGTCGCCGGCCACGTCGAGAGATCCGCACTCGGAGTCGTCCGTGTAGCTCGCGGTGGTGTCAGCGTCACCCGCAACCTCGTCCGAGTCGGACTCACCCGCCGCCGACGACGTCGTAGTGGTGGTGGTGGACCCCGTCGAAGTCGAAGTTCCAGTCGAAGTCGAAGTTCCGGTTGATGTGGAGGTTCTGGTGGAGGTAGAGGACGACGTTGACTCGTCGGTGTCGTCTCCGGCAACATTGAGGGACCCGCAGCCAGATTCGTCCGATCCGGCGACGTCGAGAGGCTCGCAGTCCGATTCATCCGACCCAGCCACGTCGAGCGAGCCGCACTCGGAGTCCTCTGCTTCACCAGCGATGGAAGAAGCAGTTAAAGTTGTTGTGGCCACCGTTGGAGTAGCCGTCGTGCTGGTTGGGGTCGTGCTACTGGGGGTTGCAGTGGTCGCCACAGGTGCAGAAGTAGTCGAAGTCGTCGATGTGGAGCCGGACGACGTACTGGAGGCTGCTGCTACGGTGGTGCTGTTCACCGATCTCGTGAGCGGGACGCAGTTGATGTACACCTGCCATGGGAGGCCATGCAGGGCGATCCAGTAGGCAGTGAGACGCGAGGCGCCTTCGCACTTGGAGACGTCGTACGGCCACTGGCTCGGAGAACCTGGAAGGTTCTCGGCGCAGTTATCATTCTCGAAGGCCAAGACATCGTCGCAGTACACTTCGCAGGGGCCGTCGTGGCCCTCCGTGAGCTGATTCCACTCAACATACTCGGACGGGATATCACGAGCTGATCCGTTGGCGAGGGAGAAGCCGCACTCGAGGGTAGCGGTGCCGAAGGGCGACAGCGTCTGCACCTCTGCCGTCTTGTCGACCAGGTCCTTGAGCGACGTGTACGAGCTCTCGTTGAAGGCGGTCCAGTAGGCCTCCGTGTTGAGCTCTGGAGCTGTCGAGTAGGACATGCCGTCGGGACACGGGAGGTACGTCTGGCCGGCGATGGTGGCCGCGAAGTTGTTGGTGGCCCAGGATACGGGCCACGTCGGCATCGGGTCGATCATGTGGCTGTGCGCATCGACACGCAGGGCCAAATTGGCGGTGGCGATCACCAAGGCGGCGAATGAGCTGGACACCATATCTGTTGTTGCTAGGACCGACGGAAATTGAGGAATGGCGAGGACCAGGGACGGCGGTAGCTTGCAGCTTGGTGGTTTGAGGGAAAGGTGCGACGAATGACTGGGTGGCGTTGTGCTGTCTGGGCCCAGGGAAGGATACCTGAAGAAGGTCATGAGCGCATCGCTAAGTCACTGCTAGCGTTTGGGGAGAGGTCACGCTGTGGACGCGTGACCCGGGTTACCTGCGACTCTAAAAGCTCGTCCTTCCGCTGAAACAGATGCAGCTGGTACAGTGTGCCACGGATGCATTGACTGTCGAATCGGGCTAGTCGCGGCCTGTGCTGATGCGATTTGGAGCCCAACCATTCTGCTCTGTGTGTTCATGAGGTGAGGTTCCCGACATCAGTCGACAGTGGAGAGAAGTTCTGTGGCCTGGCACCCGACGATATCGTGATAACAGTGCGGACACCTTGGCTGGAACACCGCGCAAAGGACTGGCAGGAAGTGGCCGACTCGGTTGGTTACGTGTACCGCAGGCGTGATATGCGCGGCAGTGCAAAGGTTCCTAGTGCACAGGAGGCGTTCGTGCGCAGCAGACGACGGGTGCTGCCACGACTGTCTTCACGTTATCTAGTCGAGGTGGTACTGTGCGTGCCGCCGATTAAACCACGTGCTCGCGACTAATATGCAGTAGGCTACAGTAAACCACGAGCGCTTGACGGCACAGTGACCATCGGCGAAAGGCTCAAACGTTAGTTTTATTAGAATCGCTGTGTGTAACCCAAAACGTATCACCCCTAGCGATTCGCTATGATCCCTGGAAAATGGCAAAGGGCCAAAATGGGTAGCCGAAGTCTCACGAGGTGTGCACAACTAGAAGAATATACTTCCATAGTAAAATCTTCCAGTCGAAAAGCAAACTTTGCAGAGGACCCCCCCTACCCCCACCGCCCCATTGCATCGCCACCGCTTTACATGTAGTCTGAAGCCACGAAGATTGATTTCAAAGAAGAAGACAAACGGTAATTCACTCCAAGGTGGGCTAGGACGTATACATTGTACCGTCAGCATTGTTGCCCGTTGATGCATTTACCGTATTTATGTCGCGATATACAAATTCATGTGGTGTCGACAGCACTAAATTTGTTTTGTAAAAAAAACGATACTGTACATGTATAACAATGGTGTTTTTAATACCAATCCGTGGAAATGCATAGTGTACAGATTACAGACTAGGACAGCCGCAGCCGTCGGATATGTAGGGATACGGGGCTGAAGCAAAGCTTGCACTGAGTGTAAACCGCATACAATACAACCAATCCGTGGGAATGCGTTTCATCGACACATCACAGGATTTTTGTTTTGTTTTACCACTTCGTGTTTCTGCATTTGAATTGGTGACCAATATACAGTAGAAGACGGACCCGTTCTGGACTAGAATTGAGAATTGCGGCAAATAGAGTTCTTGGCTGAACCTGCTACAGTAATCTGCGTGAGTAAGCAACGCCTGATATATACTGGATTTCAGAGTGTATAAAAGGAATACGTGACCAACAAAGACAAGACGTAGGACGGTCAAACCCACAATGTATTGATTTAGCTAGGTATAATGGTTTTTCTGTGGGCCAAACCGACAGTGCTGTAGGAGGCTCCAACTAGAAGCTACTGGAAGTCCTAAGACTAAATCCAAGAGCCTCACACCACTACATCGCAGTATATCTTCATAGTGTGGTGAATGTCATTGCTCTGTTAGGTTGACCCCGTCGGTGACCGCGATCATTACGAAGTCCATAACTTCTAGGTCGTTCCAAGGCTTGCCACCCGTGTTTGCTCATTCACTAGATTTGTGCCCTCTCAGTACATGCAGGGCAACTTGCCCATCTTCCGTGTTGCCACATCGCGACCAGCATAATATAAATTTTGTTAGATTATAAGTTAAGGACCCGTTGCTTATTGACGCAGATTGCTGTACCTAACGGACATTACCGAATAAAACCCCGGGCACTATTTATTAGCACCCTCCCATTTTCAAAACAAATATGCTAAATTATTGATATTAAACAGTATAAACATGATTTCGACAATAAATTCATAAATATATACTTGATCTTTGTATGGAAGTAACATTGTAACCCTGGGATACACATTGGGTTACGTTTTAGAGGGTACTACATGTATACGGGTAAGGGGTATTATTCGGGAATTTACGTTAATTCACAAATTCCCGGTTCCCGTATGCATGTGGTCATTCCTGCGTCATAGTGGTGGAGTGCTACCTTGTGCCTAAAACCAATTGGATTCGTGCTCTAGTGTCCGTAGCGTCTCCGTATTAAATACGGATACGCTTTAAAGAAATCCACACCTAAATCAGCGCCCCATTATTATAGATAAGGATGTCACGTGGTAGTTGTTGTAGTAGAGGGAAAATTGTCAACTGAGTGTATTTTGCCGTTGGTTAGACTTCTCGTGCTTCCTTGGTATCCTAGTACGTCCTTGTGGTCTCCTTGCTTCCTAACCACTTCAACTTCAATGTGACGGGGTCACACAGCACAATGCACAGAGGAAGTGCGTGTGGATATTACTATCCAGGTGAACTTATCTGAGAGTCACATCTGATTCTCCAATCAGCTTCGAGAGAATCTGAACACCCAAAGGTCGAATTCGCCAAGGCTGGCGCGCCTCATCGTCACGCCCACAGTGACTTGTGCCCGCAGCGGGCACCCCGCGCGGAACCCCCCTGCCCTCGGCGATGTTGGTCGCGAAGCCGACGCCTTTAGTGGCCGTATCCACAGCGCTAGCAGGCGCAGAGTGCCTCGGCACGGGATGCATGTTCCTCCAAACTTGCGGTGTCCCTCGTAGACAACCAGCAGTTGGCGTCGCATGGCCCTCGGGCCCCGCTGGCACGTTCGTGCTGCAGTGCCCCCCGCGAGGGACAGCACCTTTCCGGTCAGCGCGTAGCGAAACCATGGAGAGAGCTGTGTTGCTCATCTCCGGCCATGACAGCGGCCCGACAGGGCCCCGCTCGTCACAGCACGGTGTGCCGGTCGGCCGAATACGTCGGCTGGACCCATGGGCTATGGTCAAGCGCTGACCACAGCCATGAAGCGTCATGCTTCAACGTCGTGTTTGCTTGAGCGATCATGGCTGCTTCCAGCAACCCGCTCATCATACAGAGCAACGCGGCGGACTTGTCTAAAGCCCTGCAGCGCGTCACGGCCATCACGTCGCCGACGCTAAGGTATCTTCCTTCGACACCAGGGTACCGCAAGGGTACTTCATCGTGGTGTGGGGTGTACTGCCCTCCGTCACCGGCGATTGCATCCTGCGTCGCGGCGACCAACACCAGGTCGGTGTGCGCGCAAGACCGCATGGCACACAGTCCATACAGGACCTCAAGGTGTACGAGGGCACCGCCTCATACACCAAAGGCATGTAGTGTATGACACGTACCACGACTGCCATAAGTGCCTCGTGCACCTCAAGTGTCACGTGCACAAGAAGTGTCGCGTGCACTGCGGGTACATCGTGTACACCAAGTGCCACGCGCACAGTGAGCGTCACACACCGCGACTATCTCACAGGTAGTATGTGCCGCGTGCACGCTTATGGCTTCGCGCCTTACAGGTGCGGCACGTGCCGCGCCAACTGTGAATGCCTGCAAAGTAAACACTTTCGGGTTCTCCCCTTGTGGGTAACACCCATGCTCGGGACTGATGGCTACCTGGCCGGCAGACGTGCCGCACCCAGCGTAGCAACAGTCTGGAGCTTTGGCGTGGTGCTGATGGCTACTTGGCCGGTAGACGCACCGCGTCCAGTGTAGCAACAGCATCACCCTGCGGCATGGTGTTGCGCATGTACACATGCCATCGTCCGCGGACCAAGCCGCAGACTGGCTGCCATGTCCTTGCCTGACCGAGACAGCCTTCCAGCAGCGAGTGCGCGTGCCATCTTCGGCCCAGCAGCAACAGTAGCCACTGCCAAGGTTGCTGGCCATTGGTCATCATGACCATGGGACCTGAGCAGCGATGCATCAGGTCCAGCGCCTTCGTGCAATACTTCGTGAGTGGCTGCATGGTGCAGCCACTACACTGGCTTCTACGACGAAGCAAGTCTCATGCCAGAGACCTCGGGAGGAAGGGCACTTCCGATCCCCTCCCCCACTTACGATTTGAGCCCCGGCGGGTCAGGCGGCAGCCGGCCGTCTAACCTCGCGCCGCCCTGCAGCACCGAGTCACTATGCCAGCAGACTCCGGTGGCACGGGCAGCAACCCTTCCTTGGCTCTGGGTCAACATCGTCGACCAGGGCTTGGCATCTACCAGCCTGGATGTAGTTTGAGTCTGCGTGACTTGACGTGTTATTCTGTTACCCACGTCTTCGGGCTATGGCACCCATGACAGCGTATAGCTTGTCCTGCATTCAGATTAGCTGCATGGCATGAACGCATACTCAGACTCAGCCATCTCGGCACCGAGTCATGGACACTTGTTGTCCCAACGCCGCACAGTGCTATCCGCGACAGACCGTACCAACGATCACTGCCGCGCAGGGGCCTTTGCCTGCAGACCGAGCATGCTCCTGCATGTGGTCATTGAGGTGTTGCCCTCCGGCAGACACACTCCAGTCGTGCTCGACCATGCTCGCCGAGTCGGCGGCGACGCAACATGCATTGCCGCAGGTACGTCGTGTACCCAAGCCACGGCTTCTGTGCGCATGACCACAGCTGCGCTGGTCGACGCCCAGTCGAAAGTCATCCATGATGACCGGGTGTCAAGCCCTTGGAGGAAGTGCTTCCGCGCACTCCTCCCCCACTTAAAATCAGAGCCGCGCGGCGCCTTCAAGAGGACCGTGCAGCTATGACATCGTGACGGTGTCTCGAGCCTCTTAAACTCCGTGTGGTCATCCACCACACGCAAGGAGACCCAAGTGACCTGATCACTAGTCTTGGTCATACTGACCGTGCGTGGAACTAAGTTACTCACGCTGAAGTCGCTTCGAGCGACTCCTTTCAGCTCATGCGGAGCCTTACGGCATCGTATGGAACTACGTTACCCACACAGAAAGCGCATCATGCGGCTTCACAATCCGTTACCGTCTGAGTGACCTGGTGTGGAACTGGGTTACCCACACAGGAAGTGCCTGCAGGGCCTTCCACTTCAGTTATGGTCTGGACGACTGTGTGTGGTACTTGGTTACCCACACAGGAAGCGCGTGCAGCGCGTTCCTCTTCAGTTAAGGTCTGGGCGACCGTGTGTGGTACTTGGTTAACCGCCTTGAGCGGCCTCCTCAGCATTACATGCTCTGTGCGGAACTAAGTTACCCGCTAGTTAGTGGTCCTTGGTTACCCACCTGGTGGTGTCATCGAACACCACCCTTGTCAATGCTCATGCCGAGCAATGATTCTCAGCACCGGAGTTGCTTGTTGAGGCAGCTCCACATGCCAGGCATAACAGCCCTCGGTTGCAGATACACTGCACCTTCTTCACGGAGATCATCATGTCAGTGATGCCTCCTTCCTTCTTCTTCGTCTTGTCGGACGCATCCAGCGCCTTGGCGGTCCCATCGGACGCCCTTGTGTCTGTCCAGAGGTGGGAACATGACTCACCAATGGTCTGTCAGACACAGAGGGCTGACTTAGCCTCAAGGCGTTGTCGCGCTACTCGACCAAGAGCCTGTGCAGCTTGCACGGCGCACTCAGGGCCAAGTCATACTTGCTCAAGCCGAGGGCATATACGGTTCCATGCCCAGGGCCGACTTCGGCACGATGTCCGGGACCATGTACGGTTTCATGTCCGGGACCATGGGCGGTTCCATTGCTGTCAGCGCCCTCGAGCGCGGCAGCCAGGGTCACAGCGGACCCCAAGGTTCTTCTTCGGCCCAGCATCAGTCAATGAGACCTGCCCTTGTGCTTCGACTCTCTCGCAGAGCCTTGGCATTTGTGTCGTTATTCCAACCGACACATCTGGCGACGTGCGAACATCCGCGCGACGTCCCAGACTCAATCATGTCTAGGGATACCATTACCCCCGTACACTCACGTGTATTACCGACAACCCACCATTGTCCTTCACCAATGCGAGCGTCAGTGCTCGCAAGGGACCCCGGGTCTCTGTGGTGTACGCCTTCCGTACACCCATCACAAAGACTCGGGCCAACCCCAGCAAGGCCCTCGTCCTTACTGGTGGTTGTGTCCCCCTTGAGCACCTGACGGTGCATGGCGTCGGCGCCCCCTTGACCCTCTGGTCGTCGGGTAGGTCTTCTTCACAGACCCTGGCGATGGGCAGACACGTTGGTAGTGTCCAAGTCCGCCACAACCATAGCAGCGGACAGAATACTGTTCAGCCGAACTCAGATCCATGGGTTCTGGTTCGCTGTCAGCGACCACAGGCTGTACAACAGCCAGAGCACCAGCCTGCTTGTGGCTGTACTTCTCCTGGAGGGCGACTTGGATTGCCTCCTCCATAGTGGCGGTGCGCACGCGGAACAACTGCGTGCGCGCAGGACCGACCTTCAGGCCGTCCACGAAGACTGTCATCTTGACGTCTTCCGACAGTGGGTTCCCCACCAGCGAGGCTGCCAACGTGCGCATCTCCTGTACGTACGCGTACAGCTCGCGCTCCCCTTGTTTGCAGGCAAGGAAGCGCGAGCGCTGGCGGAACTCGTTGTTCGCCGGTAGAAAAGCGGCTCTAAGCTGCTCATACAGCTGAGCCCAGAATGTGAAACATCCAGGCGACATCTATACGCCCAAGTCCTGGCACGTCCACCAAGATTGGAGAGCGCAAAGGCGACTCGAAGGTTCTCGGCCGAGATGAGACCTGCGCTCATTGCAATCTCGGTCTCCCGGATCCAGAAATGAAGATTATCACCTTCCTTCCCTTCGAACGGAGGCACAGCTAGCCGCAGAGGCTTAGGCTGCACCCGTTTGGGCTCACTCATCCGAGCCAGCAGGTTTCCCTGCACATGAGCGATGAGCCCACGTTCGTACTCGACAAACGCGCTCACCCGCTCGACCTGCTCGGCTGGCGTCGCCGCCGCCAAGCTCCGGAGGGCATCTCTTCCGAAGATGCCCGCCATCTTCCGCACCGACTCGAACTGCGAGTCAGTCAAGTGAGGAAACTCACTTCCGTTCATCGAGGCTCACAGACATGAGCCACCGAGGATTAAGGTAGACCAATCTACCCGCGTAGGCGTAGGATTGACTACGAGTGCTACCAAGTGTGACGGGGTCACACAGCACAATGCACAGAGGAAGTGCGTGTGGATATTAATATCCAGGTGAACAGCAGTTCACCATCAAAGGGAACGGTTTGCTACAAAGGAGTAGGTTATAAGACTGACTGTGTTTTGGTAGAGGTTAACATGGTCTTAATACAAACTACAAGTTAACTATACAAAAGCCCACACAAACTCAAATGGTTGGCTTGCGGAGCTACTGGTACCATGTGCATGTACTCGGGAGAGTGACACCCGTCACTCTTCATGTAATGGGTACACTTGATTGTACCCCGTTACATTCAACGTCAACCAACTGCAATCTACAGCTACACATGTACTTGGGTTGGTTCAACATGTACTCGGCTTGGTTCAACCGAGGTTATACAAAATGCAAGTCCAGCTCCACATCCGTGCTGGTGCACAGCCGTCCTCATCCATCATGTGCGGCGGCCTCACAGTCTCGACGCTGACGGTCTCCATGTAGCGACCCTTGTCAAGTGTCAGCGTACCATGTTCTTGGAGGACCACGACTTGGTAGGGCCCATCGAACAGCGGCATCATCTTGCTCTGCACTCCGGCATCGCGTCTGTGGAGAAGTGCCGAATAAGAATGGATCTCCGAGAAAGGCGGCAGGGCCGATCGACTGGAAGTATGGGGGATCAGCGATCGAGAGACAGGCCGCGAGGGTCTATGGATCAGAGGGAGTTCTTCGGGAGATCTCAAGTGGCCCGATGACGGCGGCGCGTAAGGCAGGACATGTGGCAAGCCGGATTGTGGATGATCGTGCTCGAACCGTGGCGTGATTCGGGGTCGACCCAAGCCCCGATCGACGACAGATCTCGCAGATCTAGGATGGCCGAGGACAGAAGGTGATGGATCGGCGGCGTACGGCAACCGGCACGAGTCGTCGATCGGGAGTTGATCGCCGATCGCCGATCGGGAGTCGATCGCAGATCAGGAGTCGATCGTCGATCGGGAGCCGATCGAGGGTTGATCGTGGATCGTGGATCGACCACGATGGGATGCACATGGAGGACGAAGTCAGGACAAGAATCCAGTGATTGTGGAGTTGTAGGATGGTAGATGAGATGGTAGCGGCAGCTAAACCTAAATCAGAGCAGAATTTGCACCGAAGAGCACAAGTCCCCTCAAGTCACCAAGTACATTGGCCTCGGCAGTGTCGGCACTTTGGGTAGTGAACTAGCGGTACGGTTAAGACTGGATTAATACATTGGCCAGCTTGACCTACTCTAGTGATCTATCTCTTGTGTGCATGTCCTCGATCGACCGGATATTAGTGCTTGGCCGGCGATCGTTTCTCCTCTCGATCAACCTCGATCCCGCTATAGGAAGCGGCAAGCAACTCAGGAAAGGAAGGAACACACCCGGAAAGGCAACTACAGGCCTTGGATCAACTCCAGGCCGACCGATCGAAGCGAAGAACCCTCGATCGGAGCGTATACTCGGACGCAGAGCGAAGATTACCGCGCTGCTCCACAAACTATCCCCGCGTCACGCCAAGACATTCGATCTTCATTAAGTGCTGCATCTTCGGAGCCCCGAGAGAGCAGATCCAGCCCGCCGACGGGTACACAAGGTGAGAACAAGTTCAGCCGATCACGGATCGTTGGGGGACCCCTCCGTTAGTCGGTGTCTGGGCGCTGGCGGGAAGCTCGATCAGGCCTTAACCTTAACCAAATTTTGGCCGATCCCGCTACACCACAATGGTGCGCGTGCCCGGATCTCGTGGGGACTCCGGATTTCACCGTGAGTCCGTAGAAGATGCGCATGTGAAGAAAGAACCAGGGGAAGAGGCGTCGTCGGATATCGGATCGACGAAGACGCTGCTGAACAAAACGAGATCCGCGGATCGACAGAGTGCTCGGAGGACCTCTGTCGACGGAATCGAGGGCGATCTGGAGACAGATCTAGAAGACAAACCTCAACATCCTCCCCAGGTCCCTTCGGGGACCCCGGTGGATCTTGGTGCGAACCGAGATTCACTAACAAAACAAACTAAGGCGGGATCGGACCGATACGCGTTCGCCGACTCGCCGATCAGGCTCGATCCGGACTACCTGGGCGCGATCGCGGACAAGGACCAGATCGTGAGGAAGAAGCTGAGAGCGCCAGGCCTGGACGACGAACATCCCAGACCGTCGGCGCTCGACTGGTCCGAGGCTGACCTGGATCGTCAGTATCACTTGAAGGAACTGCGAGACTTCTTGCGTCAAGATCCCGTCATGGTGATCTTGCGGCCAGAGCAGATCGACGACCCGAAGGGCCCGATCTCGGCCCCCCGAGTGACGGACAACAAGCTGATGGCGGTGAAGAACCTGCTCGGGCTGTTGAAGGAAGCCGACTTCGTGGCTGGCGCCTTTGAAGCGAATGATCTTTTCGATCAGGATCTCGATGTGATCCAGATAGCGATCCAGACATTGGTCGACAAGTTGAGACCTTTGGTCGACGTGATCGCGGACAGTCCAGACCCGAAGGTGCTAGATCTAGTGTCGCCAGCTCCCGCGTCGTCGCCGCGGATGGAGTCCCCTGGGTACCGATCGTCGTCTCCTTATGTCTCCGCAGCGGAACACGTATCGGATACGTCGTCTGAACGTCAACGGATGTCCCTCGGCCCTTCAGGATCTGCGATGTTGGACGCACGATCACGGAGTCAACGTCAGGAACGCATGCGATCAGGACCTCGGAAGCAGAAACCCAAGTCGACCGATCGGACCACCAGTGCTACCGGATCAGATGAGTCGAATGGCAAACTGGAGTCTTACTTTCAGGCTGCGATGGCTCGATTTCTGAAGGAACAACAGGCCACCTACTCCAGTGGTCGACGACAACGTTGGATCGCGGGACGTGGAGATGGAATCAGACCGGAAGAATGGTTCACGCCAGCTGATGGAGAAGTGACGACCGAGATCCCGGAGCATGATCGCGATCGAAGTCGGCCTCGCGTCAGCGAACACCGCAGATCTGGCGATGTGGTGCCCGATCTCCTCCCTGGGGAGTCCAAAGGGTACTGGAAACATCATTCGCCAGGTAAGTGGTTCCGCCAGGCCAAGATCACTGGCAAGATCAACAATGAGAAGTCGATCTTACTCTTAGACACCGGCGCCGAGGTGTCCATCGTGGACACCGCCTTTGCTCGTAAGGTGGGGTGCTATGTCGACACGAGTCAGAGCCAGGAATGTGTGGGGATTGGCGAAAGCGTGTACATGACAGAAGGAAGGACCAGGATCAAGGTTACGCTGGCGGGATCGCTGGTGTATTTCTTCGATATCTGGGTTGGCGATCCATCAGGACAAGAGGCGATCCTGGGTATGGAATTCATGGTTCCGGCGGGGATCCGCCTCGATCTTGCGGACGGCTCTATCTGTCTCCCCGACGAAGCCAAGATCCAGCTAAGCGGACGGCGTCAGCTGTACA